ACAGATTTCTCTGTGTGGAATGAATATTTGAGGTCAGGTTATTACGCCGTTGTTTTCCATGGGGGCTTTCTTCCTGGACGGAAGATAACCCGAAAGTTAGCAATATGAACTCCTTTGAAAAAATCATTTCTGGAAATAGCATTCAAGTTGGAGTTTGGAAATTAAACTAACGAATCAACGCGTCATTAAAATACCTGTTGAAACAAATTTTTAAGATTAAATCTTAGCCACTAAAGTATTACCCTTAAGGTTTTGTGTGTTTATTTTCCTAATGAATTCGATTTCTGTCCATCTTTATTCGAGTAAATTTTGTACTATTTATTTATTTCAAATGGCAGGCGTTTTGATAGTTATCATTAGCTCTTTAGCTGACTTCAGGCTTCACAGAGAGGAGGAGGAAGAACATTAAAGTGACAAAAAGTCGAGAGGGGGCTGGGACAGAAAAGTGATTCAAGGATATAAAAGAGGCAGACAGACAGATAAAAGCAGAGAAAAGATTTGATAAGTACTGCAGAAGGTGTCGAATTTGACATACAGTGGGGTCATGGTAGTTTGAAGTTAGAAGTCAACTGCTAGTTAATAGACTTTTTTACCGTATGCGTAAACGTTGCCCGTGGTGCACCACGTGGAGGTAAATCTATCACAAACCTCTCTCAATTCACACTATAATATCTGCACCCTAGACGTAGTTGCTTGCTGAACGGAAGCCCCTGTTCCGTTCAGACTGCATTCTGTTCTATTTTTTTTAACGGTTAAACTTTCCTCCGTATTGACTTTTCTAAATCACTGTTGATACATAAGTTTAGTTAAATTTGTCGATGAAATTTCATGGTTAAGAAGGTACTTATATTGATTTTAAACGTTTCCTGCTATTAGTAACCAAGTCCCACAAATGACTTGTGTTTTTTTAAGCACATGATTCCGATTTTTACGCGTACTGATTGGTTAAAGGATGACTGCACGACCAACCAAATGTGTCAGAAATAATTTTTCTGCATGACCTCTGGAAGGCATTATTTCGGTAAAATTCGTGATGTAATCTCGATATCACTTCCAGTGGTCATCTTTTACATGACATGAATGTTTAGCTATCCTTACATTTGACTAATCATTCTGCAAACTCCTTATTTGGTTTTGGCGTATCAGACGTGATAATTATTCATGTAAACACCAGATCAGCACTTATATATGTTGGGTGTAAATCTTTAACCTGTTTACTGTTGAAATGAATTAATTGAGTATTTACCTAGGAAGTTCTAACTTTGCCAATCTTTCGATCATCCAGAGAGTGTGGCTCATCTTTGTCATTATATTCAAAAAAGGCGAACAATTCAAGGGGTATTCGGAATACTTAGTCATTCAAATATTTGCACTCGTTCACTATGTCAAATATCGGTTTCTTAACCACCAGCAACAGAAGCTGAATGCATATTTCCACGTCGGGTTAAAGATGAGATTAAGTAACGAATAACAGCTTGTTGTAACTACTATTCTCTTACTTAGGTTCAAAAGTGTATAGCTTATGGATCAGGTGCGGAGGGAGATATGTTTGAGAGCACACGAATAATCGGCCAACTTCAATTCGAGAAGGCAAGAGAACTCTACACGGAAGCCAAGAGAGGATTGTTCGATGATACTAAAGATGACATCGATTTTCGACACCAATTTGTCAATATGACAAATTACAAGGTCACCTATGACACTAAGGAAAATGTGAGTTCACTTTGACCAGAAATTATTAACATCTTGTATTGATTTTTGGTGTTATTTACAAATCGTTCAAAATATCTGGTTCAAATACGATAGAATAGGTGTTCTAATATTGACCGTGACGTGAATGTACTCTTATAGCATTATTTATTTCAGTAATGGAAAAGACACTTCAGTTTTTAAACATATTCATGAAGATCAGAACTCAAAATCGCGCTCTTTGATAATTTTTGAAAGAACTGATATATCCACAGTTGTGACGAATAAATTTTTGCATTTTCGTCTACATTCTTAAATAGCGATCTTATTGAAAAAGCTACGTTAACTTCTCACTTAGTCATTTACATGGATGGACTGTTTGTTTTAGTGTGACAATGCAGTTTCTACGACAGCACGTTTGATGTGTTTCAGATAACAGTGGATTCTAACAGTTTAGCAGTGGTTGAAATGTAGGGATATATTTATTTATAACAAATGGCAGGTCCCTGTTTACCAAATATTTATTTATATCAAATGGCAGGCGATGATAGCTATCATTAGCCCTTTAGCTGACTTCAGGCTTCAGAAATAGCAGTACATTTATTTATAACAAATGGCAGGTGGTTTGATAGTTATCATTAGCCCTTTAGTTGACTTCGGGCTTCACAGTGGGGAAGAGGAACATCAAAGTGAGATGAATTCGGGAGGGGGAATAGAAGAGTGATTCACAGATGTAAAAGAAACAGACAGACACAAAGGCTCAGAAAGGGTAGGATGAGTACTGCGAAAGGGGTCGAATATGACATAGAGTGGGGTGATGGTAGTTTGAAGTCAGAAGTCAACTGCCAATTAATAGACCTTTTTGCCGTATGATTATACGTTGCCCAGGGTGCACCACGAGGAGGTAAGTCTATCCCACACCCCATGTAGGGACATATTGAAATCACCATCAAATAACCTCATTGTAGACTAGTACGGATCAATTTTGGAGTCAATTTCAACGAAACCGATGGGTTTCAAACTCTTGCTGTTCGGTAAGTTAGCTGATTGAACACTACTGCACATCCTCCAGCGCCCATTAATTCAATTAATCTTGCTGCCCATTATAAGTGATTCTAGAAAATCCGTAAAAAACAGACGCCATTTTAACCATAAATCACCCGGTAAAATGATTTTCATCTTTGCAAGCAAATGAGCTAACAAAAGAGGTGTAAGATTGGAGATTTTTCAATTGATGCAAAATGAGCAAATGATTCTTTTTGTTCAATGTTAGCGCCATTCTGCTTATCTGATTGAAATGCTTCACGATTAAAAATATGATGCAATTTCGGAGTGACAATCAATACTCGCAATTGGCTGACAATTATGTTTGTCGAATTTTAGAGTAGTCCCGAAATAGGACACACCTGTCTGCCTGCGTTGGGTTACAGTTTTGCGGCTGGAACCGCTGATGGCCCTGGAGTTGCCGACTTTACCCAAGGTGTGTGCGTTGTAAGATTAACTGCATTTGCGCGTTTAAATCTAAGCCTTTGTGATGCTGACCAAGAAGGTAAGAGCAGCACTTAAGTGTGTGGGGGACCGATGTTGCAGAAATGAGCCTTGACCAAACTCCAGCAATCTCTCACTTTGTAATTGGTGCTGAAATTCGCGACACTACTTCAACAGCATCGAGAAAACAGAGCGTTTAGGGTTGAATTGTGTGTGTGTGCTTGTGTTACTGACACGGAGCTCAGTCATTGGTGCTTGACCTTCACTCCTCGCATGCACCCTACAGAGATCAGCAGCATGACATTACGTGATGATTACCGAATGAGTAGCTCACCACCCGCTCCAGAATGCTCGAGCGCATGAAACTCCGTGGTTCAGCCATGTTAGTATTGTGTCCTCCACAAGTGTAATAGCGGGTATAATAATCATTTTGAGAATTTTTCTATACAATTGGAGCAGGTTTAAAAGCTACTGTCCAAACTAATAGGAAAAGTGGTTTAAAGTTACTTGTTATACTACTTTCCATTATAGGATCCGGGATATTCTAATTTTTTAATTGCTTAATAAGATTGTGGTGACGATTCCTAATATAATTCACAAGTTAAAACTATTTACAAACAATGGCTCCTAAGACAACCTTGGCCACTCACCTTGAGTTAGGGCAAGGCACTTTGGAGTCCTATTTTGTTGGGAAGTTCACTGCTACGCTTCTTACTGCTATCACCCTAGTTGAGTATTTTCTCAACTTTAAAATTTTTGTATTTCGCGCATTCTATTGATTCACTTAGCTTGCTGGTAACAAAACGTACAAAACAAACCCGTCCCACCCACCCCCTTCAACCAAACGAAACTCTGAGTGAAGACAAAGAACTGCGATTTGGCTTTCATGAGTTATATTACCTCCTTCGATGGGTCACGCAACTTTCGAGGGGGTGGAGAGGGGTGGGGTTTTCAATTGAAATACTTGGCTCCGAACTGGGTCTGGGATTGCACTGTGATGCGCAACTTAAAAATAGCATTCAAAATTCGGTTCCAAACAGCAATTATTGTAGAAAACGCCACCAATCTTACGGTTGCGTAGGAGAATAATGCTTTAAAGTGGAAAAGAGCTGATTTGGTGATTTTCAGTTAAAAATCCGCCCATTCCTTAAGTCGCAATTATTTAAGAAAATCGCATTTTACGCTGATTCAAGGGTTTATTGCCATTACAATAAGTAACTCCCATTGCAGGAAAAGATCTATTATCATTCAATCTCTCAGAATTTTAATAAGGGTCTGAAATAATTGTAAATGAGTGTTTCTGTGCTTAGTAACTGCTGTCAGACAGTCATTGATTCACCTTTTCACGTTAAAGGGGGGAATTTTTCCATCTTCTCCTTTCAGGAATGCTAAAGACAAAGCAACCCTGGAGTTTCATCACTGCTCTCCTGACAGAACCAACGGAGAAAATGATTGAATGTCACGCCCCGAAACCGATCCTTATTGCCACAGGACTGGTAAGTTATGCATACTACTACCTTTTCATAAACAGTAAGTTATAATGGGAAAGTGCTTAAGAGAGGAGTATTTATTTACTTCAAATGGCGGGCTTTGTGATACTTATTATTATTAACCATTTAGCTGACCTCGGTCTTCACAGAGGGGAGGAGGAACATCAAAGTGGGAAAAAGTGGAGAGGGGAAACAGAAGGGTGATAGTAGTTTGAAGTCAGAAGTCAACTGCCAGTTAATAGACTTTTTGGCGTATGAGTATACGTTGCCCAGGGTGCACCATGTGGAGGTAAGTCTATCGCACACCCCTAAGAGTAGAGCATAGGACAGTATAGATATAGAACTCTCTTCTTTTTTGGCATAGGACTACTTTTTACCAAACAAGTTTTTACGGATCTTGTCAAGCTAGGAGTTAAACAAATGTTTCTTTAACTTCAATGAATATTCATTACGGTTAGTTAGGTGAAGCGCTTCACACAGGCATTTGGAATTTTCGATACCACTGATTTGGGGTTATCAGCATGCATTCATTTTGATCATAAACAAGAGTCATTTCAATAATTCCTTTCTTCACTCAGATGGATTATCCCATACCTTGGCACCCCAGCATCGTGGAGACACAAATCTTCAAGATAGGCTCTCTTGTGGTAGTAGGTCTTCCTGGAGAATTCACCACCATGTCTGGACGTCGTGTGGCTCAGGCTGTATCCACTGTAAGCCCATAGCGATGTATTATTGCAAGGTGTCATATTAATAACGATTGGCATTTTATTTCACACAGGTTTTTCCAAAAGACTCAGTGATTGCCCTTGCGGGACTCACGAATCTATACACACATTATGTGACCACTCTTGAAGAATACCAGGTAAGCGGTGTTTATTTCAAAATCTCTCTCTTTTACAAAACTTCTGTGGAGTTGACGAATTATTTATCTTATACATAATGAATATTCCTCACAAATGCCAGGTTTTTTTGATAGTCATTATTTACCTCTTAGTTTATTTTGGGGTTCCCCGGGGGGGGGGGGAAGGGAGGCATCAAAGCCACAAAAGTCGAGAGGGGGAAAAGGTGAGGTGGGTACTGTAAAGTGATCGAATATGACATACAGTGAGGTGATGGTAGTTTCAAGTGAGAAGTCAACTGCCGGCTAATAGACGTTTTGCCGTATGAGTATACGTAGCCAAGGGTGCACCACGTAGAGGTAAAACTATCGCACACCTCGTCATTTGAATATACCATGTCGAATGCATTGTTAGATGTCGTTACATCTTTCATTAAACATTATTTCCTCCATCTGATAGGTTCCAACTTCCCCTATCCTAAAATAGGAACTGAAAAACAGGTGCCCACCATTACTTTCTTATTCATTAGCAATTTTCTTTTGGCTTTTGCTCTATTCAGACAAAATAAGGTGCAAAAAACTTTGTAGTTTACAGTTCCTTAGGATAACTGAAATTTTTTCCCATCTGGATGCTTTTTGTAATGCATTTTCTCAGATTATCTCGCATTCCTGATATTGCAATTTCGTTAATGAAATTCCAGGGGGGCAGATAGCGTCTTCTCCCGAAATGTTATTCCCTCCCTCTCTACGTTGAACCGGACAATATACAAATAGGAGCTCGGTTGAAGTGTTTTAATCCTCTTAAAAACTCAAAAATCCGCAGACGAATGGAACCAGCCTCTGGCGGATTCCTCATTTATAAAGTTACTTCCCAAAGTTAGCTAAGATTCGTTCAAAGTAGTTAGAACACAGAGGGTATAGAGCGTGAGTAATTGAGCACAATTAACCTTGCGCTGCACGAGTATTGATAACTGATTGGTCGGAGGGTCTGTGGAAGTATTTATTTATATCAAATGCCAGGCGTTCTGATGGTTATCATTAGCCCCTTAGTTGACTTCGAGCCTCACAGAGGGGAGAAGGAACATTAAAGTGAAAAAATCCTGGAGGGGAGGGGGGAATAGAAGAGTGTTTCAAAGATGTAAAAGAGACTCACAAAGGTAGAAAAGAGGTGAGGTGAGTACTATGGAAGTAGTTCAATATGACATACAGTGGAGTGATGGTAGTTTTAAGTCAAAGTTAAAAGGCTTTTTTGCCGTAGGAGTATACATTGCCCAGGGTGCACCACGTGGAGGTAAGTTTATCGCACACCCCCTCTGGACGTATTTAGCGCTTGCTCAGTACACAATCGATGGTATAGTCTCACTCTTCAGAGTGTTCTTGCGCGAATGTGATCCATTTGTTCAGGATTGTTAGCGTTATAAACTCCATGACATAAAACAACCCCTATCTAAGTTAGCGTTGGCATCACAGTTATCAGTAAAAGTGTTATGATTAGATTAAAATAGCAATTTCGTCTTCCCTCTCATTTGATTCTATTATGTAAATTGAGGTTTGCAATCAAATTTTGATGAAGTTTCCTCCCTAACGAATTATTTTGAAGGTGACTTTAATTTGTTGTTTAAATGATGCCATCACTTATTAAGATGTTACATGGAAGAGAACATCGAACACAAGAAGTTGCTCAAAGTGATTAGCTACTTGCAGTTTCGTGTGTCATTGGAGATCCCATGGCCTTGAGTTCCTTGCAGTGGTTCTTGAGAGTCTATTTTGCAAAAATAATGCCTCATTAACAGCCACTTGAGCAATGCCATTTTATCAACAGCCTCGTTTTTCCAGAACTTATTGACCGAGTTCAGAAATAGGTATAATCTTCGGCATTAGAAGTTTATTGCTTCGGAAATTTTCAAATTTGTACATCCTCGCACATCCTCACAACTCTTACCTTCAAATTACGTAATTCCTGAATTCCTTTTATTCATTAGATTTAGTTTTTTTAACTGTACCTGCATTTCTTGACAAAGCAATTTAGGTTTGAGTGCACATTGTTCCCTCATTTTCTGCCTCCCTTACTTCCGAAATTTCATAGTCTTGCATAGTCCTTTTCAAGCTGCAAAAATGCTTCCATTTCAGTACCGAAAAGAAGCTTTTCATCGCTGTAACTTATTTTCTTTTCCTTGCTCGAGGTTAGACAAGGCCATAAACTGAAGAGCATTTCATTTTGCCGCTTGTAACCGAGTGGTTTTAAAACATTTCGTCGAAGAAACTATGTTGAAGGACTATTGATTAAGGGTATAGCTAATATTCTGTTTCTTCTTCCTCGTAACAGGTACAACGATATGAAGGCGCCTCAACAATTTACGGTCCGCATACACTTCAAGCCTACATTCAACAGTTCCGCAAACTCGCCAACTCTATTATGGAGGTGTGTTAGTTCTACACTAAAAACGAGAAAGCCCACTGGCCTCCGACAAATTAAAACATATTTATCTTTTCATAGAAAAGAGCTGTTGCGAGCGGACCTGAGCCACCATTTCTACTGAAAAGAATGTTCAAAGTAGGCCTCCCGAATTTGATATTTGACATTCGACCACCCTTTCACAGCTTTGGAGAAGTCTGGAAACCCCCAAAGACTTCTTATCGAAAAGTAACTGAAATTGAATTAATTTACTAAGCAATTGATCTCCTTTAGCTTGATAGGGAAGTCATCGTCGAATTTATAACCGCAGATCCAAACAATAACCTTCGAACAAACTCGACATATCTAACCGTTGAAAAGAAGGAAGAATCTGGTGATTGGGATGTCGTTTACACCGACTCTGACTGGGAGACGAAGTAAAAAAGTCGATTTCCACTTCTAATGATTCTTTCGTCTAGATTTATATATAAGCGGGTAATACATATTTTTCCACCTTGGTTTCACGTGGCTGAAATCATATGGACATTTGACTCCCCCTTCCGAGGATGTCAGCCTGGTATCTTCCGAATTAGACACTTTGGAACTGCGAAAGGTATTCACGGAATGCATGATTTCGAGGGAGAAACTGAAGCATTTAGAGTGCTATGCTAGCTAAGATGGTCATATCACCATTCTGTCTTCCAAGATTGACAGAACTCGAGCCAACTCACTTTCATATTTCATCTTCAACTAATTTATAATCATTTGTCAATAAAATATTCACAAAAATATAAAAAAGTATTAAACAACTCGAATCAAAGCGGACTTTTGCCAGCTGATTGCATCAAAGGGTAATGAAGATCGATAGAGCTTGTATCGGGAAATGAATTCAGATTTCACGAACTCGTAGAAGTTTTGTTCCATCCTCCAGATTGTGTTATTTTGGAAAACTTCACGGGTTTTCAACCGAATCGGAGATTTCTTTCGGGTATTTCGAAGGTGCCATAATGGGTGTCCATCAATTTGAAGACCCTTAGTCTCCTCGATACCATCAAGGTAATTGGGCATAAGATTTGAGAGGAGTTCCAAGAACTCGTCGAAGAATTCAAGGACTCCAACAAGGAGATAATCCTCAACTAAACGACGTTTAGCAGTTTCTAAGGCTTCAGGATTTCCGATAATGCGACAGTACGATGCAGTTCCACAAAAGAACGGTATCTAGAAGGGAAATGACCTCATAGTTTGAGTTAGGTATAAGCAATTTAATAGGCAAGACTTAATAAATTACCTGAACCCAGAGAAGTTTGGGGTTACAGTCCTCCCCCTGTGTTTGGACACAGTCATCAAAAGTCTGATATTGCAGGGAATCATTTGTCATACGGCTTCGGTGAGTGTTTGGGCGGTGATCATCACCGAAACGAATAAAATAGTACTTTGAAACTAGTCTCTCAAGGGGATCCCGCAAAATATTTATGTACACCAGATCACGACCAAGACCGAATTGATTGAAATTTAGATGATAGAAATGTCCATGAACGAGAAGATTTGAGTAATGTGATATTAATGAGATTTCATCAACAAAAGTTCTGTGAGCTAGAGGATTAAGAAACTGTATAGGATTAAAAATAGCCACTCTGTAGACACGAAATTTATTACGATTGCTAAGCGCTTCAAAAATGCGAACAATTGATGTGCTTCCAGTTTTTGGAATCCTGTTGAAAACAACGATTTTTACACCATTTGAATGCACCTGAGTAGAAGAAATGAGAGACACCCTTCTGGATACGTGAATGAAAAAGAGAAAGGATAAAGTAAGAATTCCGATGCAACATATAGCCCTTCGATGAAATGCGAACTTTACAAGATGCTTAAACATTGCGGCAAGCTAAAGTTAGAACCGAATTCCTGGGAATATAAACTTTGTATAGGACATTAGGCCATTATTAGCAGCCTGTCAGATGAAAACCGAAACTAGGCTAAGTCGATGAAAGGGCAGTGGAATTGGCGTCCGTATACTGATGCTGTGCGTAACATTGGCACCACTTTTCCATTTCTCATCCCTGTTTTACAGTCTCTCAAGAAATGCTTTTTCTTCCACAACATCATTCATTATGAAATCGTTTATCAAGAATCATGCGGCCGGAATGGAGGGTACACAATTTTGTTCAAGGACGGATATGACTACAATGGAGGTAATATTAGGATTTTAAGATGTTCGATAGACGACAAAATTGTATAAATGTAATGAATATGAAATACTAAACAAAAATCAGTTAAAATTTTAAGTTTGAGACTTTTGCCTAAACCTTTTTATTGAAAATATAAATGTCTTTTAAAGTTGGGATATTTTTATTTTCAAATAGGGAGTATATAAAGAGGTGAGCATAAAATTTCCATAGTAAAAATATAGTTACGATTGTATATGGGTTAGTGGGAATATTAATCCATCAGAGGTAATTTTGATACATTTTAAATCCAAAGCATTTGCTTTCTATATAAAATGCATGACAGGTCTAGTTTGATTTAATTATTTTTAAGGGTTTCGATTAACATTATCTAGAATAATCGAATTCTATTTCCCGTTACTACCTTTTTTAAAAATTTATTATGGGTTTTCACTGCTGAAGATAATATTTAGCATAAATAAATAATGTATCAAATAAAAATAATGTTCGATAAAATTAAACGATGATATTTTTTAATAAATTTTTATTATACTTGATATTAGACCATCATTAATTTTAGCACACATAATAATATCAGACATTGGAATAAGGGTCAAGCCAATCAATACTTCCTGAATAAATGCGGTATGTGTGATCCATCTCTTTACTCCATAGCTCCACTGAATCTAGTTGAGGGAGTCTAACCAAACGTAGGAGATTCTGCCATAGAGAGTTCTGAGGTAGTCAAAGCTTTATTAGTGAAGCAATACATTGCTGAATCATACTGGTAACTTAATTCGTTGGACAAGCCAGGATTCGGAATGTGCGGCCGTACTTAGCCTTTAATGTTCACTCAAATTATGTTAAATTTATTTGATAACGATTTGCATTAGCTTTCATTTATTTCAAATGGTAGGCGTTTTGATAGTTATCATTAGCCCATTAGCTGACTTCGGGCTTCGTAGACTGATAGTTATCATTAGCCCATTAGCTGACTTCGGGCTTCAAAGATGGGAGAGACATCAAAGTCGCAAAATGTGGAGAGGGGGGAGGGGTTAAGAGTGATTCACAGATGTTAAGGAGCCGACAGACATAGAGGTAGAGAAAAGGTAAGATGAGTGCTCTGGAAGTGGTCGAATATGGTATACAGTGGGGTCATGATACTTTAAAGTCAGAAATCAACTACCAAATAATTGACATTTTGCCCTATGAGTATACGTTGCCCAGGGTGTATCACATGGAGGTAAGTCTATTGACACCCCGCATTTGCCGATATTATAATTAGTTTTGCTATAACTTAGTTAGCTCAGATATAGGAGATGCTGCCATAAAGAGATTTCTGAGTCCGCCGAACCTTTTCTAGTGCAGCAGTCCATTATAATTGCTGAAGAATAACCCACATTTGGAAATATGTTAAAATTGGGCAACTATCTGTACGCAGCAGTTGGAGAAACGATTAAATTTAAAGATTATATTTAACAGATTTGACATTTAAGAGAATTATTTTGAATATTGTTGTTAAATAATGAAAAATATATTGAAACAATTTTGCTATAGAATGTTGAGAATGCGCATATGTTTAAATTCCGATTTAGAGAATTGTCAGGCATTATCTTTTATTAAGGGGAGCATTAGATGGCGTTATCATTGATATCAAAGTGAATGAACCATTTTGATAAAACGATAGTTATAAAACCAGGTAAAACAAACTGAATTATTTAATTTTAATGCAAAATTAGTCCAAGTAATTTTAATGTTAAACGATGATTAGACTAAGTTAATATTAATTATAATTTATTATTTTGTTTTAAACATTTTTACTTGTTTAGGTATATTTGAATCATTCGGGTCACGTGTATTCTTGGTTCTCATTTACCCCTACCAATATTTTAATCAAATATGACGTCGTTTAAAGACTTGGTTAGTTATCCATTTAATAAATAAATAAACATTTATTTAGGGTTTGAATGATCAAATTCTTCAAGCTATCGAACGTCTCGGGTGGAAGGTTCCCACGGAAATACAAGCTCGGTCAATTCCATATGCTCTCAAAGGTCGCAATTTAATTGGCCTTGCGGAGACCGGCTCGGGAAAAACTGGTGCTTATGTAATCCCTATATTACAGGTAAATTTTTCTATACTGTTTAATGTTTTAGGAACTCATGGTTTCTCCCAAACATTATTTCGCTTTAATTCTTACTCCAACTCGGGAATTAGCTGCTCAAGTTCAAGCTCAATGCAATGCTTTTGGGACAGCTATTGGATTAAATACCGTTTTATTGGTGGGTGGTACTCCTATTGTTGACCAAGCTAACCAAATGGCAATGAAACCGCCCCATATTCTTATTGCTACTCCAGGACGATTTATTGATCATCTGAAACGAACTAAAGGATTTGATGAAATTAAATTGAAGAACATGAAATTCTTGGTAATTGATGAGGCAGACCGTATGCTTGGTTCAGATTTCGAATCCGTCATTGAGAAAGTGCTCGTTGTGTTACCACCTAAACGACAGACATTCCTGTTTTCTGCCACAATGACGGAAAAGGTATGTCAGTTTTAAGTCCCTTTTATTGGCAATTTAAACACTTATGCACTCAATTTCAGGAATTGTTCGTTTATTGACTACTGAAATTGTCCTTCATTTTATTACTAACGACTATAAGCAAAATGTTCTTTTCTTATTATTGTTTTTCACTTGATGAATTCATTTTCAAAACGTCGTTAGTATAACCGCAACTTGAATATGTTTTGCATTTGAGCTAATTGTACTTTTCCCCATGGACTCCATTGTTAATTGAGCTAGTCCTCTCTTCTGTTAGTTCCCTTTAAGTTCTAATGAGAATTTGGAATTGACCCTTCAATCAACATACTTACGTGTTGATTTGATTACCCTTTTGGATTATAATTTAATTCAAATCTGTTTGTCATTCACCTTTCGCACTATTGAGCTTACGTTAATGCGCTGTTTTCAAATAAGTTTACAATGTCAACGTTTGATTGATGAATATCCGGTAATATGGTTGTCCAATCTCTTAAAAGCACTTATATTATCAAGTCATTACCTCATTGGTTTTTAACAATTGATGTTAAATTTATTGTCCAAATGTTGGAATTTTAATGCTTTCTACCACAGCCCCACTTCACTTGGGATGAAAAGAGTTTTAAGAGTTTTCATTGTGCCTCGCTTTCAATAAAGTTATCATATTCCATTATCCTTTGGGTAGAATTTTTCTTATTTCCACCCCTCACTAATATTTTATTATTATTATTATTTTAGGTAGGCAAACTTCAAAGAGCCTCACTTCGCGACCCTGTTCGTATCTCCACACGTACTAACAAATTCCAGACTGTTGAAAGCCTTCGCCAATATGTCCTTTTAGTTCCCCAAGCTGAACTAGAAACCTACCTGGTCTATCTCGTTCGCACGGCTTTCTCGCCAACGTCTTCAACAATTGAGGGTCTTGAGGTTATTAAACTCAATCCAGATGAAACACATTCTGAGGATATGGGATCTAGGTGAGTAATTTGACAAATCTGTAGTTCTAGTGTCCTAATTAGAGAGGTCGGACAAAAGTAGTCGATGGTGGTCACGCTATCGATTCTCCTTCGAAACGAAATGCTAACTGCGCTAGTTAATTCCTGCCCAAAAAGTGTAGGAATGTGGTTTTTAATTTCGTTGCTAACACTCATGAAAAGAGTTGAATAAGGTTATACCGTGTATTAACTTCATGTATGTTTGAATAGCTAGTTAGGTTGAGAATGTTTTTGAGTATTATGTAGTATGACGAATTTCCACTGAAATCTGGTCTGTTTTCCTTCATTCCTTAATTGCCTGCAATTTATCAAATATATACCCAGTAGTATTCCTAAAACAACTCCAATTAGCGTTCCTTATGCACCCCTTCTAACTCCGACTGTTTTTTTTCTGAAATTTGCATTTTTTAGTCATTGTAATTAATTTTCTACTCGAAGCAAAATTCAATCTGCTATTTGTTTTATGTTCAATTTTAATCTCAAGTGTTATTGCTTCGTGGTTGACTTACATAGACATTTGTTTGAGCTGTTCAAACTACATTTTGCGTTTATATTGCATGGTGTGACTGCCAGAAGTAAGTCGTTTTAAATTTTGTCAGTATTTCTTTTTTTTCTGAATTTCCACTTTTCGATGCATTTGCGACCTACTTTATTACAATAAGTAGTGAAGATGCAACTTTTAAAATGATTATTCCTTTAAATTTAGTTCTTAAACACTTATTTATGCTACCAACTGTTTTTATTTACTGCACACCTCATAGCATCAATTCTTTTCATTGCTGATAGTCTCGTCTTTTTCTTGACGTTTGCTGCAAGTGTTTGGAGATATGGTAATAGGGATAGGCACACGAGGCTACCTGTTGGATTTTGGATGGGCAATTTTTTTGTTATTTATTTTATTTTTATTTGTCTATCTGGTTAGAATTGAGGTTGCTTCATTTGCAGCGACGACGGTCTACTTAGGGGGCTGCACGAGTTCAGCCTACATCTTTTTATGCTTAACTCCGGACTCACGGTTGCCCCCTACTTGCTCCTTTTGGAATATTTTGCTCATTGCCACCTTTCTTTAATCTTTCTAAACTCTACGGTGCTATTTTCGCTAAATGCTATTTATATATATAGGGGTGTGCGTTAGACTTACCTCCACGTGGTGCACCCTGGGCAACGTATACTCATACGGCAAAACAAAGTCTATTAACCGGCAGTTGACTTCTCACTTCAAACAACCATCACCCCACTGTATGTCATATTCCACCACTAACACAGTTCTCACATCACCTTTTTCTCTACCTTTGTGCCTGTCTCTCTTCTTCTCTCTTCTCCCCCCCCCTCTCGACTCTTGTCACTTTTATGATCCTCCTCCCCCCTGTGAAGCCTGAAGTCAACTAAAGGGCTCATGATCACTGCCACAACGTCTGTCATTTGGTATAAAAATATATAAAATAAATAATTAATTAAATATATGTATATATGTATACATATATCGGGTTTGGTACTTGGGTGGAGCGTAATTGCACGGAATGACTTTATGACTGCCCAAAATTAATCGGAGTATGTGTTTGGGGACGTGGGTTAAATATAGCCGAATGTTTAACGCGCGCGCGCTCCCTTTTACCTCATCTATGTCTTACACTACCACCCTCCCCTCCCCCACCACCAGTCCAACCCCTCCCACCCCTCGCCCCCCNCTGTATGTCATATTCCACCACTAACACAGTTCTCACATCACCTTTTTCTCTACCTTTGTGCCTGTCTCTCTTCTTCTCTCTTCTCCCCCCCCCTCTCGACTCTTGTCNCCACCAGTCCAACCCCTCCCACCCCTCGCCCCCCCCCCTCTAACATGAACCGAAATTCTTAAATGCCTCCGCTGTGATTTGTTTCGCAGGCAATCATGCACCATGCCAAATATGGTACACACAGAGATCTTTTCGCGCAAGATTCCATTTATAAATTTATAAATATTTGAAATGTATTGTACCTCTTAATGGAATACAAGTGCCCAACTTCAACTCTTTGCAAGAAATAGAATGAAATTACCTCTCCCACAAGCATTGAAAAGCTCGCGTACTATGCTGTATAATAGTTGCGCGTAACCTTCAACTGCTACAGAAATTGAAATCTCCACTTCATTTACTTAGTACCTCAGTAGCAGTGGTTATCTGCAATTATCTTTGTGATTAATGTTCACGTCTGCTATTTCAGACGTCACGAGATTAATGCCCATCTAGATGCGCTTCCGGTGGCGTGAAAGCCCAGCTGATTATTTTCGTGATTCCCTCTCCCGAAGGTACTTCTGCTCTTCATGTCCATTGTTGCAGACACTTTTCGCATTGGGCTTGGGATTTCCCCCTCATCTCTACCTAGTTGCTATGCCCTGTAGACCATGGTGTTGTTGCGCATCAAATATCCATCAACTTGAGATTACATGCTTATAGTTTGCGTCCCAATTCGGCAACGAATGTTAATGTTCGCAATTGTTTCTAACTACCTTTGCAGGACATTTTATTTCTAAATCTATTCATGTGTGTGTGCGTTTGTGTGTTTTTCTCAATAGAACGGAATCAATGGGTTCAGCGATCATCTTCACGCGAACTCGTGAGACAAGCAACAAATTGAGCCTTCTCCTGCGTCAGTTCCTCAACACTCCAGTCATCACCCTCAACGGTGATATGCCCCAGGCTCAACGTCTCGGTGCCCTGTCGAAATTCAAACGTCTGCCCGCTTCTGTACTTGTCGCGACTGATGTCGCCTCGAGGTTAGTTTCCCTCTTAAAACCTTTCAGTCCTGCTTTGTCAGTTTTCTGAACACTAAAGGCCTCGTTATTCAGAGTATGGTATTAGGATCATGTTATTCAGAAATCTTGGACTCACCGATTTGGTTCCAGTACTTTTTGTCATCTTCCCGACAAGAGCAAGTAGAGTGTACTGCCATAACATGACATGACATTGGACCATGACATACGAAACAACTGAATTCAAACGAAGTATTGCGCTTTTGATATGCCTTTTAATCAATAACCTTCTCCTCCAGCTCATTGTGAACAGTTTTCTCCTTTTATTTCTGTTCGAATACTCCCTCCCCCTCCCCACCCCCTCCTCTCCCTGTAATTAAGAGGGGCTTTGATATTTGCTTTGTGCCAGGGATGGCTGGCGAGATTCCAAGCCTATCCCCGCGCCAAATTCTTCAATATCAACAGGCTCTGTGGTTTGATGAGAGTAGATCTCTGCTTGTTTGAGGTAAGCTCAAAAGCAATTTGATTCTCCTCAGTTTGTGAAGGTAAAATGACTTGGAACTGTGAATTACCGAAGCAAATTGTTTCCTATTAGTACTTGAATTCTGTTTAGAGATTTTTCTTTCGTGAAACCGCAATTTCTTTTCAATTGGATCAAAACAAAGGCTCGTTACAAATGTGTATTCAAAATTCTTATCTATTTTCAAAATGAGTTTGGAAATAATTTTGCCTTTTGAATTGTTGCATTTTTTGAGATTTTTAACTATATTGACGCAAAATTTGGTTTGTTAAAGGTTGTATGCTCTGCATTGGTATTGTTCTTCGCTATCTTTTCATGACCTCTTGCCCGGTCCCAAAGTCAAGGTCAATACAAGCATCTTATGGAAATTAGGAAAACATTTTTTACTTTGCTGTTGTTAATCTTAAATGGTTTCCGACGGATCGATTTGTGGTGGCCTTTGCTGTACAGAGGAGACGGGGGTTGAGTGGAGATGGAGGAGAATAACTGCATAGGATCGAAGATCATTCATGTGAAATTCTCTTCTTCATTTGGAGATTGCATTGCTTTGGGCCTTAGCTTTTCAAATTTCCCATTTCCTAATCTAATCACTAGGTTTTTAAGTGTGTTTGTCGTATTCTAATGTTATTAACCAGTTAAGTAAACTGAGTGGTTCATGATGCTATCTTCCTTCCAGCAGCCAATTGGAGCTGGATAGTTTCAGCATATCAGCCTAAATCCTAAAAAATGGTACCAATATCTGTTTTTTTAATAGAGGTCTAGATATCCCCCAGGTCGGTTTGGTTATCAATTTCGACGTTCCACTTGATGCCAAGATTTACATGCATCGTGTGGGTCGAACAGCTCGTGCTGGGCGTCAAGGCGCCGCTCTCACTCTTCTCACGCAATTCTCCGTCGTCTTCTACATGAAGGAGATTGAGAATCATTTAGTCAACACGACTAGGAATGCAGATGGAGAGAAGGTGATGGAAGAGGCCAAGGTCCCCTCGTTGCTGGAGCCTGGAACCCCCGCAGATGCTGCTCTAGACGCTGCTGTCGCTGAACTCCACGTGGAAGTACAGGCGGCTTTGGCTTTGGCTTCTAAGGTCAGTTAAATTAGTTAATTTATTTAAACTTTGATAGTTTCTTCAAAATCCTTTATTGGATATTGGAAGATGTCTGGTAGGAGCACATTCATTGGTGGGGAACGTTACTCACTTCGATTAGTTATGCCTTTCCCCTATATGCACACCAATGGAGTTCTGTTTCGCAGTCTTGCGGGCAAATTATTGAAGAAATTGAGTGAATTGAGTAGTGATAGCTATGTCGGAGGTTCCAATTTGGACAGCTGTCAATGTATGTCCAAAATGTACCTTACTACGCCTCCTTTGATTGCTTTTCGCATACAATTTTCCTCACCCATCTGAATTCCTGCAGCAAGGCGATTTGTTACAAGGTAAAATTTTTGTTTCCTTGAGAGGAGAAGCGATTTCTGCGACAGCTTTATCTCTGCTAATTTTTGTCTAATGCTAGCACCAATCGCAAGTAAATGAAGACAGACAGGCTACGCTACTGCATTCGTCTTAAAAGTGACTAATTTCTGCCTAGAATAATTGTTCGGTAGGTGGAACGTGGTGGTGGGGGGG